TTGGTGTAAATTACAAAGCTTAACCCCACAGACCTACTTATCCACATTAATAGAAATATGCAGGTATGCCAATTTTTAACAAGACATGTAGGTAAGTCTTTAATAAAGATATAAAATTAACAAATACTGCCAACCACTACAAGCATAGCAGGAAAAGGCTTAAAGCAATTAAAAAATTCCAAACTAAGAAAATATAGCAACTGATGCAATTTTTAAAATGTTGTTTCTAAAATGCCTTTCTTAGAACCTCTGTTCAACTACATATATTATGAAAAAAAGGATTCCATAGTCAAAATTTTGTAAGTGCTACACATTATGTCCCAAATTTGGCTATGGAAACCTTTGTGTGTAACATCTTCTAAGAGGATAATTTATGAAGGTTTTACAGATTAGTAAACTTTATTTCAAATTACGTTCTTCATATTACATTAGCTTAAATAGCTCTAAATCAATATTTATGTTTGGAATTATAGCATAAACAAGTAACAAAGTAAAGATTTGTTATAGAAAAGGTATAACTGGGTGAATTGTAAGCATATCATATTCTGCAATCTTAGTCTGAGAATAGCTTAGTGAAGGTTATGTGCCATAAATCTAATTACCACTTTCCACATGGTAGCAGAAACAGACACAGTTGACTCTTGAACAACATGGGGGTTAGGGGCGCCAACCACCCACACAGTTAAAAATCCACATATAACTTCTGACTCCCCCAAAACTTTCCCATACTTGTTCCTCAGTATTCACGAGGGATTGGTTCCTGGACCTCCTGCCCCAAGTCAATGGATGCTCAAGTCTCTTACATAAATAAAATGGCACAGAACAATGCATGCAATCAGCCCTCCACATCTGTGGATTCCCAACCTGGAGGGCTGACTGGATATTTATTGAAAAAACAACATATAAGTGGCCCTACCCTGTGTAGTTTAAACCCATGTTGTTTGAGGGTCAACTATATTTTCAAAATCATTTCAAAATGAAATGATCAAGAATCAATCTATTTTAGTAATGGCAGATATGATTATTTACAAGTAAAGAGCCTCCTAATTGATATATGGCTGTCAGTCTTGCCCATCTCTAACCATTAATCTTCAGAACGCTAAGTTATCTTCTTAAAGACACATTGGTGGTGATATTCCCTCACTTAAAAACCTTTCTATAGCTCCCAAATGCTTCAAAGTAGAAAATTCTAAATTCTTAACACCTGATTCTAGTTTACCTTTCCAAATTCTTCTGCCACTTCCATACCTGCTCTAGCTACACGAAGTAGTTATTATTCATAGATTGCTGTTTCATGCTTCCTTGCCTCTGGAATTGTCTTCCCTCTCTTTCTTTTCTCCATTTGTTAAAATTACTACTCCTCTTTCAATACTCAACTCAAATGACTTTTCACATTGGCAATAATATACTTTTTATAAATGTAGTCCACTCTGCATCAGCCACTATTGTATTTGAAATAGTAATTTTTAAAAAATTTATGAATATATGAACATTATTGACTTTAATTAGGATCAGTCTATTTTTAGTGGATATCCTTAAAACCAACTGCTATCTCTTCTAGATTCAATTCTTAGATTCAATTCGATAGGTTCTTACTGACTACCAAATATGTCCTAGATATAGTCTTATTCTTAAGACTGGGCCTAAAGTCTTTTCTATTGCTAAATGCATATATAATAGGACATTAAGTGGGATTTTTCCTCTTGTTCCAAAACTGTGGCTAAAGCCCATATTAAGTACCCCTTCTTCTAGCTTCAAAGAGCCAACAGTAGTTGGTACCAGCCTCTCCAACCAGGGCTTACTGAGAGGCACTGGTTTATTGAACCAGCCCTATCATCAATATTGTAACACCTTCCCTCAGTGTGAATCTAAAAAAGCTGAAAAGAAAGATGGGTTTATTGGACTTTGAAGGGAATATAGTGTTTATGAAAAGAGGACATTTCATCCCATTTGGGGGAAAAAGCAATTGTCATATGTGAATCCAGAGGGTAAGAATCAAAATTTGAGGTCATCTAAAAGAAAGGCACACTGGTATTGCATTCCGTCTGGTTACCTGTATAAGCAAAAGAATTACTGATTTGCACCCGTTATATGCGCAGGAGAAAAGAGAAATAGAGAGAGAGTGTGGTGAGGAAGTGTCAGGCAGAAAGGTAGGCAAGGCTATTTGCCCACCCTGAGTTGTTGGTTCCCAAGAGGTATAAAAAAATGTAACCTTTGCCCCAATGTGCCTCTTGGATCTAGAATTGGTAATGAGAGGTAGATTTGATGGGATAAAGTCTTGCAAAAAAAATACATATCAGAGTCACTAGGGGTGAATGCCACCATTCAGGTTTAACCAGATGTGACCAAATTCTGCAAGGGATGGCATCAGTGTCTATGGAAATGGGATAGGTTGAGCTCACTGTCAGCAGGGTAAACTAGAGCTAGCACTCATCTTCATTTAGTCTGTTGACAATGAGCTTGAAATTACTGCGGAACAACCAAGAAAGACGAGTGCCACTTTTAACACTGAGATTATCAGGCAGGATTCTGCCTCCCCTATCACTCCTCCCAGCTTCAACACCAGAGGAAGGAAAAGCACCTGAAAAAGAAAGGGCAGAAGTGTGTGACAAAAAACAAACAAACCCTACTTATGCACGCTCAAAGTTGTCAGCCCCAGAATAAGGTCAGTCTGTCCTGGGATAAAATGATGAGTACTGTATCAAGCCAGTGACTGGAAGTTATAATATGAAAAGAACTAAGTAAGTCTTAAATATTGGAATAAGACTAGAGCATTTGAATATTACGGAATAGTGACAAGATGTTGTTAAGTCAGTTGATATCTAGTAGGAAAGGAGAGTTTGGCATGGTAGAGTTAGAAGACAGTTACTAGATAAAAAGCAAAACTGATTTGTATTTATATGCCAGCAAGTTGAGTTCCTCAAAGAACTGGTTACACATAGATGGATAATCTCTGAAATTTGTTTCCCTATATATTGGTGTTCTTGGCTTTCCAACTCTCCATTTCTTTTTTGTATAATTAATAAAATCCTGGTATGAACTCTATTATACTGTGATATTTAAGTCTAGAACCAGGCCATCAATTTGCTTACTACTATTTGCTGCTCTGTCTGAAAAATACTAATTGGATAAGAGCCATACTTCTGTATCTGGGAAGACACCATCAAAGTCACAGATATGAATGGACATATAAGCATTATTAATAATGGAGGCTGTTGGAAGTAGCAATAGGTATTTCAAGTAATAAAGTGAAGGAGACTAATGAGAACAAAGGTCAGAAAACAGAAATTAATTTGATAACTCAGTGTTTTCAACATTCACCTTTTAATGATCCAACCAAAGAAGAAACCACAAAGAGGTTTATCTGACAAAGAGGAAAAATGAGTATATTGTAAATGGAGATATTTCAACTGCATGATACAAAGGAAGGAAAATGAAGGTTCTAAAGAAAGAGAGTAAGAGAAAAGCAAGTGAAGGCTGGTCAGGAAGTGGGGCCTGAACTGGGGCTGTACATGGAGGATGGACAAGCATGGATGATAGACAGAGTAGAACAACTCTGGGATGGATGAGAGACAATAATGTAAAGTGGCTGTGACACATTGCAATAGTAATACATACCGAGACTGAACTGCGGGTAATGCTCATAAATCTAACTGCAATTAGTACAGGTTTCTGGATTAGGAAGGACATGAAAAGGAAAGCAGAAGGTTAGAATGCACAAATAGTTGCCCCATTAAAAGAGAAGGTTTAATCTTTCAATGGACTTATTCTGCATCACCACCAAAAAACGCATTGCTAGTCTAACTGCTTTGAAAAAAGGTCTTTGAGAAAAGTAGCTTTTTAGTAAAAGGTCTCTTCTCTTTCTCCCTGGATGAGCACTGCTGAATTGAACCTGTCAGAACTGAGTTCTTGAAAGTTCATACTACAGAAAGGGTTTCACTTTTAAATGTGGTTTCTTTTTTCATTTTCTGGGGAAAAGATTTAGATAGTGTCCTGAGATGGGCTTTACGTAAAGCCTTTAGTGCCTAGAAAAAGGCTATGTTTAAGTTTGTTTTTAGAAAAGACCCTTCTCTAATTTAATCAACAGACGCCTGTTGTGCACTTGTTCTATGCCAGGCAGTTTCAATAGTGAAGGAAGAACAGAGTTATTTTAATACTAATCTAAATATAAAATAAGAAGATATGGAAGAAGTATTGCTGGGCCCCTGGAAAAGCATAGGTATGATGATGGGGAAGCCTGCTTCTCTTTAGAGATTTACTGGGGACCTGAGTGAGTGTTCATCACTACAATTGTTTTACAATTGAGGGGAAGGGTAGAAAATGGCAATAATTAAACTTAAATTCACAGTAGTTTTCCAGTTACCCAGATCCTACTGATTATTGGTCAGTGAGAACTGGAATTATCTATATATAGGTCACTGGTTACAAAGGAAAATAGTAAACAGAAGAGTGGGCAAATGGAGGAAATAAATTATTGTTTTTGCAAGGCTCTTCTCAAAATCTAACAATAAACCCTTAAAGAATCTTTATTTGATAATGGTAGACTTGTAGATGGAATTCCATTTCCTTATAAATCATATTTTTGCAATTGGTTAAGTTCTCTACATCCCAGAAGTATTGGCAGGACCACCAAAAAGTGACATGGTTGAGAGTAGGAACAGATGGTGGAAGGAAGTAGAGAAGAAAGTTAAGATAGGTTAAGTTTTCATAGAAAGGAAAAGACAGGAAAAGAAAACAGGGCAGATTATTAAACCACCAACATTTTATTCAAATGCTTGATTTTTAAAATCCTACATATTTCACTGCATATATATTCTGCACATACATATAGAGCTAAAAGAACAAAACATTACGCATCCACAGTACCCTGAGATTTGATGATTTTACTTGTTTTATGTGAAAAAGATTTAGAGAATACTCTCTCTCTCTACCATAAATGCACACTTAAAATCCCAGGAAGGCTCCCACTTTCCCCTGTGACTTCATATCACGCATCTTACCATTGATCTACGAATCAGTGACAACCTGGTCTTTGCCTTATTCTCAGCAAATTCCAGGCTACTGATGTCTTTGAGACGAGCCTTATACTTATTCATTTGTTCCACAACAATCAGCTCCACACAGCTGGAACAGGAGGAAAGAGAAAAAAATGTTAGGAGCTGAAGTAAATCAAATAAAGTATAGCACCCACAGACTTTTTCAGCTAAGTGTGGTAGATGGTAGGAGGAAGAAAGAAAAATCAACATCCCTTATTTTATGAGCTCTGAGACAGGGTTTAGAATGGTGGTTTAGAACTTTGGCTGTACTTTAGTACCCATCTGAGGAGTGGTTATAAGTTCCAAACCCCAGAACAATTAAATCAGGCTAGATTTTTTTTTAATATATATCTTTATTAATTTCAGAGAGAGGAAAGAAGAGGGATAGAGAGATAGAAACATCAATGATGAGAGTCATTGATCGGCTGCAGCCCGCAACCTGGGTATGTGCCCTGACCGGGAGTCGAACCCTGACTGCCTGGATCCTAGGTCGACGCTCAACTACTAAGCCACGGCCGGCCAGACAATCAGGCTAGATTTTCTGGGGATAGGACACAAACACCAGTATTTTTTTAAAGCTCCTTTTGCAGTCAAGGTTAAGAACTACCAATCCAGAAAGAAAGCAGAGGCTCACAAAAAAAGGCCAAGGTGAAATACAGGAATACTAAGTACTAAGAACAAAGGGATTCAGAGCCATAAGACCACAGACTAGATTACAAAAAGATACAAAGTATACGTAATTTGGCAAACTGGAATTTTAAAATATATTTAGAAACCATAAAATTCCTAAAGAAAAGCCAAATTTTATTTTTTTAAAAAGGTTGACACTTTGCTTCAGCCTTTTTGTTATTTATTTTATTCATTGATTGGTTCTTGTATGTGCCCTGACTAGGGATCAAACCCACGACCTTGGCATATTGGGATGATGCTCTAACCAGCTGAGCCACCCGGCCAGGGCAAGAAAAGCCAAATTTAAAAAATAAGAATCCTCGTAACAAATGATGCTCATTTGAACAGACTCCAAAGAAGTTTTTTCATCTTCAGCATAAAAAAACCCAAGGTGTCCAGAAATCTTTTAAAAATAATCTGAGCTTATAAAATCATTCACTATATTTGATATCTGGATTAAGCAACTACACTGACTCAGAAGTCCCTGGGGTCTTGCAGAGGTGATGGTGACCGGCCTTACGTGGTAGTCTTACTGATGTCCTGCACACTTTGTAGTGGGTCAATGGTGTCGGGGCAGCGTAGAATGCAGGGTGCAAACACAATGGCCAAAGCATTAGCAGACATTCGATTAGTGTTTTCCTGCAGAGCAATCCTAAGAAACAAAAAAAATCCAAGTGAAACAAGGATAAAAAGAGAAAATAGTAGGGACGTAGGTAGAAGAGATGAGAAAGAAGACATATAACATCAAATGCATAGTACTGAAGGATATTCATAACAGTTGAAGGGAGAGATACTGTAAGCTTTTCTGAAAGCTGTTCTTTTGCCTCCGGAAACACACTTTTACCCTGTTCCTTTCTTGAAGCAATGTAGGCCAGCAGATAGCTTATTAAGGGATATATATGATTCATGGTTCAAGGTCACCATTACTAGATGATCATGTCTGAAGAATGCAGAGTAAAGACTTTAAGGCATTTTCAGATAGTCTTATTTACCTAAAAAGAAAGATAGTGTTCTTCCCAAGTACTGCTGATATTTACACTTAGAGGACGAGAGACTACTCTTAAAGTCTCTTTGGTTAGTCAAATCCTAAGTACTATTTGAACTTAATGCCTGTGAATTAGGTTATGTCAACAGATTACAAACTTTTTAGTTCAGGATTTAAATAATAGGTCAGGCTATACAGTGCCACCCTGAGGCTAAAGTTGTTACTTGACTCAAATAGAGCAGAGAAGCATCTGCCACACAGTCCAACCAGTCTGAGGATTTCTACTCCAAGGAATTTTTAATTACCTCTTTGAGGCATTGAATTTATACAGAGGGAAAGAAAAGATCTGTCCGTTTTCCAAATGGAAGAGCTCTTCATTTATTTAAAAGAATTCAAAAGGAACTGTTAAACATTCCCTTGCTTCTTGAAGTTACCTGACAAGATGAAAGATGAGGCGTTCCAGTGTATTGAGATGAGTTCGGGAGAGCTGGTCAATCACAGAGTATACACCACGGATTGTCTCTTTCCTCTCCTGAAGACCTAAAAATAGTAAAAGCAGCAAATAAGACTGAATATCCCCCTCCTATATACAACATATTCTTCCTAGACAGACATTAGAAAGCAGGGTAGATTGGCTCTAGAGTTTTAGGAGAGGTAGTTGTGCCTGTGTGGCAGGTAACTAAGTTACCACTAATCTCTAATTGCTTGAGTACTATTTTCATTAAGCAGTCTCCTGAGTTTTAATCTATATCCCAGTAATCCTTGATTACAGCAAGGGGAAAGAGATGCCCTAGTTTTTCAGGCATTTGGTGGCTAGCTGATCCTCCATTAAAATTAATCAACTGCCATATAATTTATAAAGAAGTCTTATAAGACTTTGAGAATTCAGGCCTCAGGGACTAAATACTTCTAGGCCTTCATCCATGATCTACACATTTGTAGCACTGAAAAACTAAACTCCATAACCTGTTAGGTCTGGCATAAAACAGCCAGCTTTACACAGAGTTCTTGCCTAGATTCACAATTTAAATGATCATAAGCCAAACCTTAAATATTCTGTTATAGGATAGTAAGAAGCCAGGAAAATTCCAGGGCAGGAGGAATAGGGAAACTGAGACAAGAAAATTAAACAAGGCCAAACAGTTTGACAGCCTGCAGCCAGCTTGTAAATAGCAAGCTCTTTATCTTCCCCTAACCAAGGACGCTTGAGAGCAAATGGTTAATGTCTCTCTAAAGAATGCAGAACAGGAGAGGGGAGAAAAGGGGGACCGGCAGAGAGGACGGAGGAGGGGGAAGGAAGAGTGCAGTCTTATCTCATCCCACTGTTGAAAGAGAAAAGCCAACAGTCTCCGGATTTAACTGCCAGGTGCTTCTCATAAATTCTGAGAAACCCATAGCAAAATAAAAGAGAGAAAGAGAAAGAGGCCTTCAGAGTTAACCTGTACTAGGATATCTAGCAGAGCAATTTTAAAATTTATAGACAGAAAAGGATATAAGGCAGAACCTCCTCCCCACACACACTTGCTCTTAGATTGAGAGCCCATCCGTGCTTCNCAAAGTATATAAGGCAGAACCTCCTCCCCACACACACTTGCTCTTAGACTGAGAGCCCATCCGTGCTTCATGCCGGATGATAGATTTGGTTGCCTTGCTTCTTTAATAAATTTGCAAGCTTTACTTTCTTAATAAATTCATTTTAACACAATACAATTACCTGGAGTCACTTGTTTGAACTAATTCACACGAGAACACAAGAACCGAGAAGGGGGGAAAGCCCTCTCCCTCCAAATCGGGGCTGTCAGATAACCTCTCTGGTGTCTGTGAGCGGTGACTGTAACATATCCTATTTAATCTTTTAATTTCTTTGCAACCCTAGTCTTGCAATCTATTTGTGAGAAGCAACTAACTCAGAAAACTTTTAGGACACAAAAAGTCAACATTTACTGGCAGTTTTATATTAACTATCAAAAGCATACTTTTGGATCTTTATGGACTAAACCACTGGAGGATGCCTAAATAATCTATAATGAAGATGGCATTCCTTTCCCAAGTGTAGACCTTCCCTCAAACCCAGGAAGGCTGTGCTTACCCATAGCTCGAAGAAATTCCTCATAGAGCTCAAAGGTCATAAGTGGATTGGGCAAATCACGAAGCCATTGTTTGAATACACTTGCAATGACGTGTATGTTATAGTCATCTAGGTTTACACTCTCAGCATCTATGTATAGACAAGAGTTAGATAACAAGACAAAACATGCAAAGAGATTCAAATAATTCACTTTAGAAGCTATCATCACCAAAATAAGGCTTCATGTTCTTAATCAGACTAATTTATATCATCTGCAATCTAATCTCATGCTTTGGAACAGTGCTTCTAACTGCAGTAAAGGAACAGTTTTTGTTTGTTTTCTAAGTCTGTTGTAGACTGATCCATGTGTAAAATAAAAGATCACGTTTTCATGTCAAAGCACTGTTAAATTGTTCTAACAGTTTCTAAATGCCTGCTCTCAACTTCTGAATTTATCTTGCTATGGATCAGTTTTGAACCACAGTTTGAGTAACAATGGTTTAGATGACAAATGGAAAAAAGGCCCAGAGGACATTTTCTAAAAGTAAGGCTGATTTTAAGTGATTCTTAGAGATGCAAGGAGAATAATAATTGAGCTTAGGAAATGTAAAGGAAACACCTTTACTCTGTTTCACTTACAAACTCCCTAAGGAGTTTATACAGATGAGGTTTATAGATGAGAAGACTGAGATGATCGGGAGGACACAGGGTGACTGATTTTTCACTTGTGCTGACTCAAGGTCCAAGGGACAAGTTGGCAATTGTCTTTAAACTGGAGTAGACCAAATCTATGCCTTGTATAAATGACACACTCAATATATGTTTGCTGAATTGAGCACATAAAAACAAAAGTCTCTAGCCCCAGCTGGTGTGGCTTAGTTGGTAGAACGTTGTCCTGTGCACCAAAATGTCGCCAGTTCAATTCCTGGTCAGGGCACAAGCCCAAGTTTCAGGTTCAGTCCCTGGTACAGATGCATACTGGAGGCAACCAATTGATGTTTCTCTCTCCCACTGATTCTTCTCTCTCTTTGTCTCTGCCACCCCCTCTTCTTTCCTCTCTCTCTAATATCAATAAAAACATACATATTTTTTAAAAGTCTCTTTAGAAAGCTACAAAATGATAAATAAGCACCACAAAAAAGATTACATTCTTCTGGCTACAAGAAAATGATCATCATGTAATAAAAAATTTAAGAGCACAAAATGACCTATTTCAACAAAAGTATTTGGTCTTGATTTGGAGGGCAACATCTTACCTGTATCTAGACCTTGTCGAAGCTCCTTGATTTTATTAGTTGAACCAGACTTTCTGTAAATACCTTCTGTGTACAGTCCATGCATTTCAATGTAGTTTATGAGCTTTTCCACCACTAAAGGAACAGTTCGGTCTTCACTAGTTAAACGGGAAAGTTCAACCCCAAATTGTCGAGATGATAGCTCTGGATCATACTAAACGGAAGATAATTTTGTTTCCAAATATGTTTAAACATCTTTAAACATGTTTAACCAATTTTTTAAGAGAAACTACTTTTTATTTCCCTGAAGTTTTATAAGCCTAGTTATGAGAGTTAGGGGGAAAGGGAATCATGGATAAATCTGACAGTATAAATAAGTGGGATGTTAGTTTCCATCCTCTCCCATTAGAAATAACTCCCCAAAATCACGGGGTGAAGAATGAACGTAGTGGCAACAGGCTGCTGTTTCCCTTCTTGTCAGAAATCTCTTCATGTAAAGGTGGGATTTGGGGAAAAGAGAAGGGACTTAAATGTATGCCAACATTTAACAGGTACCATTAGAAAATCTACCAATTTGATATGAATTAGAATTGTCAGTAATTTCTGAAGCATAAGAATGCTTCAATATTTACGTAAACTTTAGAGAAGTTCAATTAAACATTGATGTCACAGCTAAAGGCAGAGGGGCACACACAGATTGGCCCATGGTTAGTATTCTAGTTCTTTTTTATTTACTTCAATAATGTATCTGACATCATACCTTACTAATTACAATTTATGTGACTGCAAAAGAATGGCTTATCCTAAGATTATTTGAATTCTCAGAAAAGAAAAATGTGAGGTATTATCTCTGAGACAAAAACCTTTTTTGTACATTTCTTTTTTGTCTTTTCCTTCTCCTGCACCATTCTCCTTCCCTAATTAGACACTGTACACCCCTCTCTCTCCTCCTATCTGCATCTAATCAGTACCAAGTTCTTTTAGTCAAGCAGTACACTCTATTTTTAATTTCCTGTTCTCAGTGCCATTACCCTAGTTCAAACTTATATCACTGCCCACTTGGACTATTCCAACAGCTTCTTAATGAATTTCTACATATCCATTTTCTCTTCATTTAATATACTATAAAGTATACATAGTCTATTTATTTATCCTCACCAGAGGTTATTTTTTTTTCCCATTGATTTTTTAAGAGAAAGTGCAAGGAAGGGGTGAGAGGGGAGAAAGAGAGACAGACAGACAAAGAGACACATATCTATGTGAGTGAGACACATCAATTGGTTGCTTTCTGCATGCATCCGACTGGAGGCAGGGCATTAAACCTACAACCCAGGTATGTGCCCTTGAACCCGAGACCCTTTGGTCCCCAGGCTGACACTCTAACCACTGAACCAACCGGCCAGGGCTATAATCTACTTTATTATCCTCAAAAACCTTCAGTGGCTAATTAGTATATATCGCATAAAAGGTGCAAACATTCCTGAGTCTAACATTTAAGACATTATTTGTACTAATCCTAATTTTTCCTTACAGTCTTTGTTAATGCATTTGTCACTTACATACTAGGTAATAGGGAAAGAAAATCAAATAAGTCCTTACCCTAAGACTAATGCTAAGACTAGTAGTTTTAATGTGTGGAGATAAGTAGAACAGAAACAACAGATTTATTCAGTATGATGGAACTATAGAAGTGAAACAGCTAGATCAGGTAGGACTAGGCTGCATAACAACTAACGACTGTGAGAAGACCTGATGCTTAATATAAATGTTGGAAAGCAAATACTAGTACATGAGTAAAGAAAGCAAGAAAAGCACCTTTCAGACACAGAAAACAAAAAACTACAAAATTGGACAAGCAAACTAACATTAATCTGATATGGCTGAACTAAAAATGAGAAAAAGCTAACATTATAAAGGACTTTGGGTACTAAGTTACAGAATTTGGGTACTGTCCTGACAGCTAAGGGAAGCCACCAGAAAGTTTTATATTATTATACATCATTCATCTACATATACTCTACATTCCAGCATCCTCAAATTATACAAGGTAATATCTCTGAAAAGTATCTCTAAGTCTGAGATGGGATAAGACACTTAATCTTGAATTATTTACAGGATATAAGTTAAAATTTTATATAATAACTATATGAATTAGGTTATTTAGGTTATTTCACATTTGCAACAGGAATGTCACCTTTCTATCTCAGAAGGTTATTGTAAAGATTAACTTACAGATAAACATACATAGCACAGTATCTGGTAAATGACAAATGCTCAATACATTGTTAAATAAATAAAACAACGCTTGCTGCAATGATTAAAACAAAATATATTTTGGCCAAACTTCTTACTACTACTATAATACACACATGCACACATATAATCTATTTATTTAAATGTTATGGTTATCCCTAGAGCATTAGGAATGTTAATAGTTAAGACTCAAAAAAGCAAAAAAAAATTATATACCTGAGGGCATTAAAAATTTTAAAATAGTTTGACTTTAAACCAACTAATCTAAAGCAAACATGCTAAAATTCTATTTCTTGAAATCAAGGAACAAATTAATTTTAATATTTCAACTGAAAAATTTAACTGTTTTCTTTGTAAAAATAATGGTTTTATAATTATTTTCCCTCCATATTAACTTCTTTGTGTGTTTTAAATAAAATTTTATTGAAGTATGGCATACATACAAAAATGTGTATGAATCCTAAGTATACAGACCTTGACAAAATAAATGCCCACTTGTTACCAGTACCTAAATCAAGAAATAGAATATAACCAGCAATATAATTTTCCCCTCAAGACACTCCCAGCAACTATGTGTTTCACTGTTTACTAATAACCAGAATCTATACTTGCATCACTATAGTTTTATCTGCTTTTGAACATTATATAAATGGTATCATATAACATGCATACCATCAATTTTGAACTTTATGTCTATGAGTACCAATAGTTTAATCTCATTGCTATACAGCTTTCCATTATACAAATATGCCACAATTTATTTATTCATTCTATTGCTGATGGACATTTAGATTTCTTTCAGTTTGGGGCTATTTCAAATAGTGTCGATACAAATGTTCTTTTATTTGTCCTTGGGCACAAATATCTATGTACATCTGTTAAGTATATATCTTAGAGTGGTACTGTTAAAAGTGATGAGAATGTTTATGTTCAGGTTTGATAAATACTGCCAAATAATTTCAAGAGTAGGTCAACTTATACTCCTACCAGTAATGGATGAAAGTTCCAGTTGCTCCAATCCTCGCTAGGATATTTTCATTTTAGCCATTCTAGTGGGCATGTATCTTACTATGGTTTCAATTTGCATTTCCCTGATGATAAGTGAAGTTGAGCACCATTTCATATGTTTATTGGTCATTTGGAAATCCTCTTTTGGGAAGTGCTGCTTAAGTCATTTTTCTATAGAGCTGACCATCTTGCTTACTGATTTGTAAATGCTTTTATATACTGTATCCAAGCTGGATATATGAATTGCAAATATCTCCTCTGTTTGAATAATGAATGAGTTTTGAATTCTAATACTTGTCCTATATTTATTGAGATGATCACATTTTTTTTCTTTACTTGTTCAATGTAGTGAATTCACATTGGTTTCTGAATGATAAATCAACTTTGTATTAATAAAATAAAAACCAACTTTATCATGACATATTTTTTCATTTTTAAATCATTAGTACAGATTCAATGTTTCAATATTTTAAGACTTTTACATCTATGCTTATGATATATACTGACCTGCAATGTTCCTTTACTGTAAGATCCTTTTCATGCCTACCTTCAAGGTTTCACTTAAGTCAATTTGGTTAAAAAAAAAAGTCACGAAGTATTCACTCTTTTCCCATTTCCTGGCAGTTTGTAAAAGATTAGTGTTGATTCTTCTTTAAATACTGGAACATACTCAATGGTAAAACCATCTGGGCACAGGGAGTCTTTGTGGAAAGATTTCCAATTATAGATTCTACTTTAATAAATATGACTATTTTCTATTTTTTCTTAACTTAGTTTAGCTTAAGTTGGGTTTTTGTGGAAATTTGCCCAGTTAATCTAAATTGTCAAATTTATTGGTACCAAGGTATTTGTAATAGCGTTTTATTTTCCTTATAATATATGCGATACCTGCAGTAACATGACACTTTCTGTTTGTTAAAAATTTGATAGCTTGCTAAGAGTTTATTGTTCTAGGCTTTTCAAAGAGCTAAAATGTGTCACTGTACATTTTTATCTCTTTTTATTTCATTTACTTCTCTTTATTATCTTCCTTTTGCTGTCTTTGAGTTTAACTTTCTGGTTATTTTTTTTCTACTTTCTACAGATGGCAGTTTAGATCATTTCTACCCTTGTATCTTTTCTAATGTATGATTTAAAGCTATAAATATTTTCCTAATCACAACTTTAGCTATAGCCACACTTTTACTATGTCATAATTTCATTATCATTGAACTGAAAATATTTTTTCACTTTTATTGTAATTTAGATGTATATTGCTTAATTTCCAAACACATGAGAATTGTCTAGTTACCTTTCTGCTGGTTTATAGCTTATTTCTGCTCAAAGAATATACTCTCAATATTTTCAATCTTTTGAAATTTGTAGGAACTTGCTTTATGGCCCAACGTGACTGATTTTGTCAAATGTTCCATGTGCACTTGAAAAGACTGTATAGTCAAGTCATTGTAGGATGCCGGGTTCAATACATGACAACTAGGTCATTTTTTAATCTTCTTTTTCGTATCATTTGCATCTTTACTGAATTTTTGTCTGCCAGGTATTAAAGCTACATTAGACTGTTCTAAAGAGGAAATTTTTATATCTCTGATACGTTCACCATTTTCTCATTATTAAACATCTTTACCTGACATGATGCTTCTTGTCCTAAAGTACACTTAAATATTACACAGCTATGTCACCTTTCTACTGGTTACTTTTTCATGCTACATCTACCTGTCTGTCTGTCTGTCTGTCTGTCTATCTATCTATCTATCTATCTATCTATCTATCTATCTATCTATCTATCTAT